GTTGGTAAGCATCAGATTCTTGGTCCCAGCTGTGTCAATTAACCACCAATGGATAGACGCCGGGGGCTAGCGGATGTGTTGTCAACCTTAAACAATCATTTCTCGTTTAAAGATAACAGAATCTATTTGTATCGGGTAACAATTTTTTAATATAAATAAAGAATTGTGACTACACCTCTCGTCATAACAATGTAATACGTACGCTACGCCGTAACGCACTGAATAAAATAGAAAAGTTTTTTTATAGTAGGTTTTTTTTTGTTCTATGTAACTTGGTCTTCACATATAATCAATGTTAACAAACTATTTTAAAAGAGTTTCTTGCAAATTATTCTCCAAATGAAACTACCTTTTGGAAGGGGCAACTAGTCATTTATTTACGTATTTTTAACTTGTAATTTTGACTTTCAAAAGTGCCTTTTAAATAGGCCTATATTTTTGAAATTTGAACTTTCACTTTTTTTCACTTTGAAAATTGAAATAAATTATTAGATTTTGACCTTGACTTTGAATATTTGAAATTTTATTGAGCGAATTGTCAGGTTGTATATATAATTATGTATTCATTATTCTGATATGATTTAATTTAATATTTAACATATGTATTTAACTTGTTTAGAATTGTCTGATAATAATAAACTTTAATGAGTATGATGCAGTTATTCCATAATGCTGTATAAATAAAAGCGAAAAAGGCCAGCAACTCACTCGCGAGCCCTCATACACTGAGAGTATCGGTGCGACGGTATCACTTTACATCAGATGAGCCTCCTGCCCGTATGCCACTTGTTCTATAAATAAAAATGAATTGGAAAATATGAAGCGCAAAACTCGAAGACGGCTGGACTAATTCGAGTATTTTTTATTTATTCCTCGAACTCTGAGGAAGTTTTTTATGAAGGGAAAAATAATTCCGGAAAAGCCAACAGACTCTATGGAATAGCTTAGCATAAAGTTCCATATGTTGGTATGTAGCTACTAAAAAGGTAGGCTAAGTAAACAAATCTTATTAAGACTTAAAGAAGTTCGCGCGGGTAGCTTGTATTTGATATAACTTTTTGTGTTTTATTTATTACTACTACTAAGGCCGGCAACGCACTGGATGCTCATGGGCTGCGATAACTGCCCTTTTTTAGCGTCCCGTATGCCGTAGGCTCGTTGGCCCCTATGCTATAAAAATATTTAAAAATTAGCTTAAATTAGCAATCTAGGTTTTAAATAATAATCAAATCACATTAAGTACACGTATATTCACTATTATACATTCAGTATAAATATACCAAAAAGAGTTTGTAAGATATGACAAAAGTTAAAATTACAATTATTGACACATTCTCATAGTTTTTCTTATTTATCAAATCCATCCGTGCGCCGATACTCTTAAAAAATATTTTAAAAATAGAAGGTAACATTTTCTGGATCTTAAACACATTTTAAAAGGAGTACAACTTGAACTTTTGGTGTTGGACTTGGATCTCTATTCTAAAAAATAAATCTTATTACACAGTTTTAGTATATAATCATAGATAAATCCGTAAAGCAGCGAGAATCGGATTCGAAAATATCAGATTTTATATTCCATTGTTCTAACCCTTTGTTAAGTTAATTTAAGAAAAATATATCGTAAAAAAACGAGGCAATAAATTAGTTTTGAAATTATTTAATACAATTTTGTCTATTTAACAAAATAGTTGACACATTTATGTGATTCTTTTGACAGTAACTTGGTAATGTATCGATGAATGTTGTTTATTAACAATTTATTACTTGTTATTTGATACTTTACTCAGTGTTTCCCAACGTAGGCCCCACGCCTCATAGCAATTGTTCAATAATTCGAAAATTTATTAAAATTTTATGGAATTTGACTTTTAGATTTTCACTGTGTTTTGAAAATTTACTTACTGTGTTTCGTTAACAACTTCCTAGTTATTTCATACTAAAACCACCTATCATTTAAGTATTTTAAATGAACAATTTTTTTAAATATTATGTGTAAGGGTGCGTACAGACTATGTAACATATTATATAACTTGTGTTTTATAACACGTCCACATTATGTAACCTTGTTATTCAACACTATAACATAAAACAATACTGTACACATTAGAATAACAATGCAATATAACAATGTTATATAACCTTTGTCATTTGTCGTTCTCCAGTGCTATCCACAATGTCGACACGAGAGGACGTTTTACTGGCTGCGGCAGCGACTGTTGTAATATTAAATAACAAAAGAAAAACAAAAAAAACGTAGATGCTGGGTTCATATCAATAACATAACAATATAACATTGTGGTACATATCAATAACATGTTATTATAACATGTTTTATAACATTCAGTGTCCACATTATCTGAAACATGTTGTATAGCAATGTTGTAAAACATGTTATGTTATATAGTCTGAACGCACCTTTACATAATTTTTAATTTACTAAGGCTGTGAGGGCGTAAGAATTTTAGAAAGGCTAAGTTGGGGCATGGCACAAAAATGTTGGGTAACATTGCTTTAACTATTCGATTTCTCGAGTGACTGAAGTACCTAGATAAAACTGTGTAATAAAACTTATTTAGATTTTACAATCAGGCGTCTTTTAGTGTAAGATTCAGTTATGGCGCTAAGTATCTCTTCCGTATTTCAAATGCATATATGTTATATATATTCTTGACATAGTGAAGTCATACTAAGCGCTCCGTCTCAACTTACCACTTATTTAAATTGTTAGTTTATATGTCGCAGCCAACTAGCTTAATCAGCCATTCAATCAACAGCCTAGCCGCTTTACTAAAAAGCAGCCTGAATGATATTCAGTTATTTGATACAGCTAGACAAATATGAAATAACTTGGATCAGTGACGCTTCATTACTTGCCTAGTCTGTTCCTTTCAATTTAGTTCCACTTTCGGCCAAAGTATACAGTGTAAGTATAGTAAAGATTTTTTTTGAGCAGTGTTGGCCTAGTGGCTTCAGCGTGCGACTATCATCCCTGAGGTTGTAGTGATCCCGGCTGTGTACCAATAGACTTTCTTTCTATGTGCGCATTTAACATTCGCTCGAACGGTGAAGGAAAACATCGTGAGGAAACCGGCTTGCCTTAGACCCAAAAAGTCGAAGGCGTGCGTCAGGCACAGACGACTGATCAACTACTTGCCTATTAGATTAACAAATGATCATGAAACAGATACAGAAATTTGAGGCCCGGACTTAAAACGGTTGTAGCGCCATTGATTTATTTTTTAAAGTTTTTTTTATGTGAAATGTTTCATCTTCTTTATTTCTGTCACATGGACAGTGGTCACCCGATTGGCCTAAGCATTAGCCAGCCAGTTTATTAAATGTAACAAATGCTACGGCTGAACTCATTGAGGCCGCTAGATAAACGGCGCTGGCGCTTTAGTAAAGAGGCTAAGCTGTCGATTTATCGGCTAATTGGTTGCAACATAAATATATATCGGGAATAAATTATTCTACCAATAAAATTATTACAGTAAAATCATTGTATACATAATGTATCGCTCTCTGGCACAATTCATTAAAATGTTTACATCAAGTTATAATAATTTGAAGTCATATTCTAAGCTCATAAGTAAATAATTAAAATATACTTTATTATCAGTATTTATATCTAACTTTAAGCTAAGATAGACACTAATAGTCGAGAAAGTTATTCTAAGTCTACGTAGTGTATTAAAAATCTTAATGTTACTATATTTAGAAAATTTCGGTACAAGTCAATCAAATCAGAAAAAAAAATAACAGAACGTAAAGATATTAAACATAACCTCTAAAACCATGCAACAGGCTTTCTTTGATACAAAACTGTATTAGAGAAATATATAATTTTGTGCCAGGATTTTAATGAAAGTATATTTCTTATTAATAAACATTGTAAACAATTAATAAAGGCACATTAATACTTAAATACATATATAATGAGATCGCAATATCAGCAACTAAATTTACGTGATCATATTAATATATATTCGATATAATTTTCTAATTGGTGTTTTTATTTCAAATTTATTGCATTTTAGATCTTTCACAAACCATATACAGATGTTACTAAACAATGTTTTAAACTTATTTGTAATTTAACGAATATTTTATTCAAGTTGAAAGGTTCCACGTTTCTAAGTTACGGGACTTAGTCTGTGAAATCTAAGGTTTTTTACCCTTATGGTACGAAATAACCAATTCTTAATCAGTAATAACTAAAGATCACTAAAACTTTTTTGTATAAAGATTACATTTATGTACTAAAATATAATTCAGTACACTAAAGAGTGAAGGTAAGAATTAACAGTGTTAAGTTTCAAACAAACGATTTAATTACAATGTCACGCCTTTGTGGTGTATCAAATTGACAGATCCTTTGTGTCGCATTTTAATGCGCAGTTCTAATGATTTTGTAAAATTGTAATTTCATTTTGGCTTGTAAAGTGATTGTAAAGCGCAGGTAGCGTTTTTTATTACAAAATATAGATGTTATTGTCGTCTTATGTACTGTAAATTAATATAAGATATGATTGTATTCATTCAGACATTTTTTTCTGTAAAATATTCCAAAAAAAGTTATAAGTTACATATAACTTATTATATGTATTTAAATATAGAGTGCTGTCTGGGTTTAAAAAAATCAAAAATCATTTTTTTACTATATTGATAGAAACCATAGTTGTTCGTTACGTGTAAATTTCAGTTATACAAATACAACGCAAGATGTTTATTTAAATGTTTTGCAAAAATATGAAACGTAAATATATCCGATAATTAAAAAAGCAAGAATGATACAAACTTAAATTGGAAATAGCCTTGTACACAATACATAAGAATCTATATCTTAGTGAATACAATTCTTACACTAGCATATGGGTATGTTTTATATTTTAAAAATAGAATTCACGGTATCAAGTAATCTCGGAAATGCATATTCATTCTCATAAAATCACAACATTTAGAAAGATTGTCTTCTACTTAATTAATACTTGTCTTACTTAAGAAATTGAACAGGAATTGCGTTTACTGTTAGCGTTTCTTTCCCTAATTTGTTGAAGGTGCGCGAGCTGAGCGGCGGAAGGTACGTGGGGGGCATTAGAGGAAGAGGGGCTGGCGGCGGAGCCAGGCGGACCCTGGGGGCCAGTGGGCAATGATTGCCGCCGTCTTCGCCGGAGCGCGGGCGACAAGTTGTACTTCACCTTAGCCTGCACCAGTAGCTCTTTGAAGATCTGAGACACGTTCATATTGTCCTTCGCCGATGCCTCCACAAAACCATTCTCCCAATCCACGGTCACGACGGACTCCGTTGTGTGAAAGTCGACCTGAAATCAAAATAATATTATAGACACCGAATCGAATTTAGTATAACTTTCGCTACTCTTTCGTCTCTTTTTGTCCAATTGTGTATACTATGTGATGAAAGGAGGCAGAGTTCAGTTTAAGCGGATCAATTAGACTGTTGAAATGTATTAATGGGTAAGTGCGTGTTGTTCCCACGAGAATGTGCGTGCTCCTATTTCATCATGCCTACATCAAGACAAATTTTAGGGTTAATTTTATTTATTTTTTAATTGTATACTTAATAGCTTAAAGATGTCTTGTGGAACATGGTGTAATAGTTGCAGCTCCTTACTAACATGTAAAACAAAAAACTTGGCGATTAAAAAAAGTGGCGGAAAGTTTATTGCCAGTTCTTCTCGTCCGTTCTACGTCCTTGATTTGAGAACTGGCAGTAAATGTAACATTAGAAGCATCTAATGTGTATTTCTTTATTGATGTTCATAACTGTACATTGTGTTACCTAAATTAATAAATTATTTTGAATTTGAGTACATACTGCTAGCATAGAAATAGGCTATTACTAGAAGTTAAAAATTATAAGTAAATTTTTAATTGAACTAGCCGTTTGGCATATGCTGTAATAAATTAATTAATCATTATACCGTAATTAAGGACCTACGATTTATTGCGTAAAGGTGGGTACTGACCAACGTTACGAGGTGTAATGTAACACGTTACACAGCGAGCATTCGTACAGTCAGTACGTCGTGCAACCAGCGAGCAACGAGCCGCTCGTTGCTCGCTTAGGCCTACAACGCACTAGCGGCTGGCCGTGATGCGGTGTGCCGCTGCGGTAGGCCGCAGTATATACGGTCTGCCGTAGCGGCATGCCGTATTCCGGCTAACCGTCCCTATTGCGGTCCTATTGCGGTCTGCCGCAATCGTCACTCGTCAAGTGCTTCTTGAAATATTGCACATGATGGACGTTGAAGAAGTTGCGGCAGTTAATCAATTTATATCATCGTAGAAAATATCGTCAAAAATACTCTGCGTAGTGTCTAGCGCAAGGAACAAGCGATGACTGAGGCGGGTTCCTACCCGCCCCAGTCATCGTGGTATTTGCGGCTAACCGCGCCGAGTGCGTGGAGGGGATGCAGCGCGCCGCATCATTCAACCGGTGCGGCTCGCCGCAGCTCCAGATCAACCGGAGCGGTTGACGGTTGTCCGCAAGTCAGTGCGTTGTTATCGTGCAGTTTCATGTAATAATCGATGTGCGGCCAGCCGCAGCGGCACACCGCATTGCGGCCAGCCGCTAGTGCGTTGTAGGCCTTAGAGTGCTCCACCCGGCTGTCGGTTTTTCGGCGAATCCTTTGACTGTTACGCGTTTCAGTCAGTAAGCGTCGCACGTCGTGAGTGATCATGATTATGATTTTCTATAAATTGTGTCTTTTTTAAGTACGTAGTAGTTAAATTCAGCAGTTCAAATGACAAACCACCACATACGCCTGTGTTTTTAAATAAGTTTGATGTCCAGTAACGTTTTTTCTTCTTCTTCTTAATTTGTTTGAAACAATAATTAAATAGAATGAAAGATATCGACACGTCCTCGCTGTCGGCCATCTCGTGAACACTGGCGGCGAAAGCGGAGCACAGAGTTTTGACGAGCATGTTACGCCGATTTTAGAACATGCTCGATGCGTAACACGCTCGATGCGAATGTTACATAACACCTTGTAACTTTGGTCAGTACCCACCTTTAAGTATTAAGATCTTCGGGGTCGAATTCGGCCTGAAATCTGACAAGATAAACGTGACAAATGACGGTTTGCGAACATTCAGCATTAATTATGACAACTGTGCCGTGAGATAGGAGCGATTTGTTCAGCTTCATTATACTCAAGTTGAGAATCGCGTCGAATGGAAGTTTATTTTTTTTCAATTGCGATGGCGTTGGCAGGTGTTTGCAAAAGCTCTAAGGGTCGCTTATCTTAAATTTGGTTACAATATAATTGGAAATTTAACTGTGTTTATTATACATCACAAATCGAATTTGGAATTTGTTGTTTCAGGAAAACAAGTGCTCCTACATTTTTAGATTTAAATAGTCATAATAATAATAAAGCCTGTTTTTTCCAATGTTTACAAATGTTGACCAAATACATAAACTGTATACTGTATTTGTTATTTGTATGATATTTTTCTTGTTACTCGATCCTAACTTCTCTTCTGTCTTTCTCCATTCACTTGCTGCTCACGCTTCTTTGTCTTCTATTCGCCTACTTTTAAAGCGCCATCCTTGGTCCTTCCAAGGGGAAGTAGGAGATATAGTTCCATATAGTTGTATTTTAAGTCCACCTTTTATCTGTGCTTCTTGCTATAATCCCCGCCCATCGCCACTTTTTTAGGGAATTATTTAAGAATACATTTTATTATTTACATACGTTTATTATTAGTTAACTAATTATTAGTTAAACGCAAATTTATAGACGCACTAGAACTGATTCATCTCGATCTCGGCAACTTAATTTCTTTACCAATACAAAGGGAGTTACGGTTCGCCATAAGTTAGTTATTTGAACAAATGAAACCGACGAGATTCGACCGTGCGGAAGACACAAGGGACCGGATATTGGTAAGTCACCACTGCCCTATTATCCGCCTGCCACAGCACAAACTAGACTCGCTACATCCGTTTGCATTTCCTAACCCGATCACAAACAAAAGATATTTGCTAACTCGTAAAGTTTATTTAGCGGGCTATCTGAATAACTTTTTATAAATGGATTTAGTTCATCTTGATTGCTTTAAAACGAATGTAATCGTGTAAAAACAGACCTGAATTAATGACAATTTTATAACTACATATATGGTCAACTAAGGCTATGAACGGGAATCTCAATGAATTAAATATGTTTTTTTTTAAGTGAAACTTCCTTTTTACGGAACGTCACGAAGATGTGCAGCGTTTTTGTCGAAGAAAAGGGAGAGAGCGATTGAGACCGATTGAGAGAGAGTCATAAGGGTGAATTACCTTACAGAAATTGTATTTTTATAATTAAAATTTCGTAAAGAGAGGTTATGAAATATTAGTATTTTATATTTTATGCAAAATAATTTATTGAAATCTCAAATGACGAATTTTAAATTAAAATGCCATGTGTTTTTATTTTCGAAGAAATAAATTTAAAAAATTAAATTTATCTACTCCTTCAGGAAAAAATACGCTTGAAAATGCAGAAAATATACGATGGAAAATTGATTCTCAAGATCAATTGAATGATACGAATAAAACACCGTATGACCGAGTTAAGCAGTGTCGGGAATAGAAAAGAAAGAATGCGGAGCGAAGAAACCCGAAGAACCTCCTAGTGTTCAAAAATATTGACATGCATAAATAATAATATTCATAATTAATATATTATTTTACCTTAACAAAATATTAATTACTTATTCATGTACACACGATATCCACAACAGAGCACATCTATTTTTTTGTATATTTTCCTAAGTTTCTCCAACCACCAACATATTTTTTTGCCATACCGGCAATATCATTTATTTTCAGTTTTGTGTAATAAGACTAATTTAGCTGTTATAAATATGGTGTCTACAGAGCATTAGTATATGTATCCTTTATCCTTTTCATAAACTTTGAAATCTCTCCTATTCTTCGTTATTCAAGTTGATCCTTGATAACAATGTAATAGTCATTTAAAATACATTATCCATTATGAGGCCCACAATAGCACAGAGCACAATGCATTAGAGATTCTTCATTTTAAACTAACATTTTACTTTAAATATAATTATTTCACACATATTCACACACCCACAACCACTCATGCTTTAGTTTTATTTAGTTTGTTACTTTTGTTTAGTCATAGTATGTAGTCCTATCTTTGTATATTATATTTTCTTTCCGCGATGGAAGGCTGATGATCGGATACCACAGGACTTCTAAAACTTCTTCCTCTCCTATTATAGGGACCAGCCTCTCACAAAGATGGTCAATACATGTAGTATGTAAACCTGTAAAATGTAATATGAAAAGGCAAATAATTAATCAACTTTATTTATTTTAATTTTTTAACTGCGTACTTCTTAGTACATATTAATAATATCGTCAACATGTTCAAAGTAAATTATTTTGTACAGTCTAGTTTTACTTTTATATTGTTTACGATCTCTTACTGTGAAAGTGCTGTTCACATTAATTAACTAAGTGCACTACACATTATAAATAGATCGATCACGTGAAAGAGTTACTCGAGAATGAATCAAATTATTAAAGACATTCTCGTATGGAGAACATAGAAGGTACGTTCCTGCCCTGCGATTCTGTAACTCACTTTTCGAACTCACACAGCGGTTTTCGCAGCGGCGGTCGCGCTCAAATCAATCGTGAAGCAGTCATTTTATGATCTGGCATTCTGATAAACAATAAACTACAAGGGACCTTATCAGAATGCCAAATCATAAAATGACTGCTTCACGACTGATTTGAGCGCACGATTTGTGTGAGTTCGAAAAGTGAGTTACAGAATCGCAAGGCTTCTCCTTCGATCGCTTAGTCACATTTTACTAGACAATTGACCAACTGCTCACTTGGTAATTCCAAATTTTAATAGCTGAATGTTTGTTATGTATGTGTAAATAAGTGTAAGTGGTATTTAAGATGTTGTTTTTTAAACAATAAATCAGATTTGAATATTGCTCTGTCTTATTAATTTCTAGTTTCTTCTCTGGCTAAGCCCCTAATTGAATGAGCCTGTTACAATAGCTTTGAGAAATCCCACCACCTTGAACCGCTGATCCTACCAGTAGGCCTCCGTCTATTACCTCTTGGTCTAGACATCCCATACTTATTTATATATTAGGTTTTTAGGTCTAAGAATAACTTTATTTCTCATAGGAATTGCATACATAATTCTCTTACTGAGAAACAATATGTAGAACTAAGATTAATGATTATATTCACTTCTTATTTCTTAGGGTACATCTGTAGGTATCTGTTAGGTTGTTAGGTTCTTAGCTCTCACCC